GTTACGAAACAGAAGGGTGAATCGGAAGGCTCGTCAACCACTTCATTGATGGCTGAGTCAGTATCTTCACTTAAGAAGCAGAATACAGGTTCATTGGCAGCGACAGTGCCTTCTGCCGTTGATGTCGGGCAATTGTCGCGGTTGTTACGCAGCCCTCCTATGCAGGCTCCGGAAGAGCATCGCTTTTATCGGCTTCCAAAGGTGGCTGCTCATTCACTTAGAACTGAGTTTTGTACGTTTTTGGCGTTTTCGAACACAAGACTGCTATCCGTGACGTACTACGGCGTGCTGGCCCTGCGTGAATTTCTGTCAAAAGAAGCTGTTTGTGGACGGGAGGTGATTTCAGCTATTCGAGCGTCCGAACGACTTGTAAATAGCTTGATCCACTTTCATAATGATCCCGTCACAAATGTAAGGCCGCACGAAGCTGTTCGCATGCTGGGGATTCGGTACTTGGCATTTGATGCACTATTAGCACTAACGCAATTGGTGGGGCGCCCAATGCGTGCAGAGGAGTGGTGGAGTCGGCTTGCACGTGAAATTCCATCTGAGGTGCAGTTTAAGGCCCACAGCCGGAATATTCNGAGTGGTGGAGTCGGCTTGCACGTGAAATTCCATCTGAGGTGCAGTTTAAGGCCCACAGCCGGAATATTCCCCGCCGCAGCTCAAATGCATTCCTTGCAACATCGCTAAGCCGGGCAATTGAGAAATTGAAGCAAAGCGAGCGCCCCAGTGCTGCCGAAACAATTGCCTTAAAGCGATGGCTGCTTTGCAGTCCCCATTCTCCTGCGTATTTTAGACAAAGCAGGTGGAAGGCTTGGCGTGATGATGACGGTTGCTCTTCACCGCCTACTGGGAAAGCCTGGGTTGGTTACACAGAGTCTTCAGAGGAAGAAGAGGATGAAACAGAGTAAAGAGCTCGTCATTTGGATTGCATGGCTGATGGTAGAACGCGAATGTGTCTCTACCGATAGTTACGCGAATTTTCATCATTTGGATATTTGTGAACAACGGCTGTAGAGTGAGGAAACGTCCTACTCAGCCACGGAGGTTTTGTCGCTAGGCGACGCAGCTTCCTTTGCGCCTTCGCGACTGCTTGCGGACCTGCAGCGCATGATGCGCCAGTGTGGTCCCTCAGTCAAACCAGCAGAGGAGCAGATGTATCTCACGATATGTTCTTTTAAAACCAACTTGGGTCGAAGTTATTTTTCTTTCAAGCGTACAACATTTGTGTGCACTAAGTGTCCTCATAAACGGTGCTACGCATGCTGAGGGTTTTTGCATTTGTACGGAGCCTTGTTCTGTTTCTTGAAGCTGGCGCCGCTAGCGTCTATGCTGT